AAACTGGTTCCCCCGCCCCCCCCCCCCCGCTCGCGCCCTGTGACGATTCATCGACACGACACAGGCATCAAACTTCCGCAGCATATCGTGGCCACCGCAGACCCAAAGGAGGCGTTAAGGGACGCGACCTTCGTAATACACGCGGTGCCGGTGCAGTACACGAGGAAATTCTTGGAGAACGTGAGTCCTGCTCCTCCTGCCGCTGTGTTTGTGATGGGATTTGCGTGGAATCAGCATCAGGCGGGGATCAACGCTGATGTCGTGTCTGCTGCTGCTTCTGCTGCTGCTGCTGTTGTTGTTGTTGTTGATGGTATTGATGTTGTTGCTGTTGTCGTTGCTGTTGGTTGTTGGTTGTTGCTGTTATCGTTTGTCGTCGTTGTTGTCGGTTGTCCTCATTGTTGCTGTCGTCGTCGTCGTTTTTCGTTGTTGTTGATGTAGTTGTTGACGTTTTTGTTTTGTTTTGTTGCTGGTCGCACTTGTTGTGGTTGCGACCGTTGCCGATGCCGAGGGGCTGCCGCCGCTGTTGTGGCATCTGGTTATATGGTTTTACCCCCAGTGCTGCTGCTCTTGTCGACGCTTGCGTCTTACACGTCCATGTTGAAACGCTTTGCGCCACTCTTCTTCGAAGGAAGCGTAATTCTTTTTTTTCAGGTCGTTGTCTTTATTTTTCGGAATCGATCAGGTCGTGCCGCACATACCGGCTGGGACGCCAATACTATCTGTCTCCAAGGGGATCGAGACCTCGTCCCTGATGCTGATGAACGACATTCTTAAGGACCTCTGCGGCACGGAGCGGTCGTACGCTTTCCTCAGGTGCTGCTTTACATCTCTCGCCGCTTGCTGCCGTTGCCCTTGGCCTTCGTTGCTGTCAAGGTGGTCGTGATAGTTCTTCGTTGCGTATCGTGTGAAGCTTTTAGTTTAGAAGTAGCTTGTCACCTTTCCTGACGAAGGTGTCACGAAACGTTTGTGTGCCGCCCGCCCTTGCATGCGGATGCCTGGTTTCGTGCTCTCCCTCCCCCCTCCCTCTCTCTCATGCCAATTAACTCCCCAAAACTTCTTCGAATTGCTTTGTTCCACGTGTGCCCCGTTGCGTCGCTTTTTCGCGTTGTATATATATCCCCGGCACTTCCTCTGGCGTTTCGTGTGCTACGGTGGTGGCGTGCTACGGGGGGGGGGGGTCCGGAACGACCGTGGGCGATCGCGATGCCGCCTGGATGTATCCGCAACCAAACTACTCGCGCACAGCGGGCCTTCGTTCGCGCGAGAGATAGCGATGAACCAAGCCACGGCGGTGGTGATCGCGAGCGACGACTTCTGCCTCGCAAACGACATGGCCAAGGTAAAGCTGGTCGTGTGTGTCTCTCGTGATGTGTCATCCCCCGCACCAACAACGAATCAATCACTACGATTGTATTTTAGTGAGAATGCACACGTTCAATGTTCCATGTATCCCGGACCCTGTTAACTGCGTTAGAGATTGTTTCGTTGTCTTTCATGTACGGAAACGTGAACGCATCACGAGCATAGTTTTATCGTACTTGTAACACGTTTCGTGGAAACTCTCTGCCACTCTCTCCTTGAGGTTTTGTAGTGTTTGTTGGTTGCTGCAGGGGAAGTACGTTGTATTTCGAATGACACGGACCCTTGTGTACACCGCTGACGATTTATCAGGGAGCGCAGCGGAGAGCTCTCGACCACACTTGTACCTGGCGAATCGTTGGGCGTGTTCGATGGTTGACTTCGGTGCGCGGTGGTGCTGTATCTTCCTCCGCTTTGGTTGCAGGTGCTGTCCTCGCGGACGTTCCGGTGCTTCACCTCGAAGGATGTCGTGGGCGTGGAGGTGGGCGGAGCCGTCAAGAACGTGATCGCTCTTGCCGCCGGCATGTGCGAGGGGCTCGGCTTGGGTAAGAAGGAAGCGGTGTTGTTGCGGTTGTTGTTGTTGGTGGTGGTTGTTCTGGTTCATGTGTTTTTGTGGTTTGTGGGTGTATTGTTGATGTTAGTGTTAGGTGCTGGTGGTATCGTTGTTGCTGTCGCCACAGCACGTGGTTGCAAATGCGTTGTGCGTTTGCCAACAATATGAGTAGCGGGCTACCATGTAGGGGATTGCAGTGCTGTGATCAATATGGTTGAAACGACACTGCATGCTCACAGCTGCCTTTGGCAGTAGGTCTTGGAGAGACCACACGCGCGGAAACAACTTTGTCGTACAATGAAGAGTGGTTCTGATCCCCGCGTTGTCCCCTGTTGCGCGCGTCATGATTCGGACGAACGTACTGCGATCAACCCACGGTTGTTCTGATCCCCGCATTGCTCTCCGTTGCGCGCGTCATGAAACACGGTTGCCGTGGATGCGTGCACTGGGTCAGGCACGAACGCCATGGCAGGCCTCGTCACCCGCGGGTGCGGAGAGATGCGTCGGCTGGCCATCATCCTGGGGGGGAAGTCCCGCACCCTGTCGGGCTTGAGCGGCGTGGGCGACACGTTTGGCACCTGCTTCGGCCCGCTTAGCCGCAACCGGAACTTCGGCATCCGCCTTGGGAAGGGGGAGAGCATGGAGGAGATCCTCGCCAGCAGCACAGAGGTAACGCTTGGAAGGAGGAGGGGGGATGGGGGTATTACTTGTCATATCGACCTTACGGCTCCGTTTTTGCCCAAACACAATATAAGGCCCGGGAAAGGCTATGGGCAGATCTATGGATTTTCCGTGCCACTCAGGACTCTGTCCCTAGGAGGGCTGATGGCACCTTTGGTGATGGCACTCAATAGTCTTTGATTAGGTCCATATAGAGAGAGTGACGCATTGACAGTCCAAGACATAGGATCCCGTGTATTTTCCAAACAACAGATGCATACCCTCAATGATATCCATACCGCGGAGCCCCCAAGTCTCCGTAGATATTCTAGATATGAACGTGCCTACCATTAACCAAAGTCCACAAGGCACGGTGGGTGGGTGTGTGCAGCTCAGCTAGATCTCGCGCAGATGTACGTGCCGTATTTGTGGTCTCCCTTTCGACCCTAACCTGTGGACCTGTGGCTTATCGCTTGAGACTTGTTGCCCAAGTTTCGGTTGTACGCGCGTTACTAAATAGGCGTCCTGTTTTTCGTGCCGCTACTCAGACTCTGTGTCGAAATTTGTTGAATCTCGCAGCAAAAGCTTCCAGGACGGCTGGTCGTCAATCGTACCACACTCACACACCGATGTCTAGATCCCTTCTTTGTGGGCATTGCCGTGTTTTAGTAGGGCTAATGGAGAATCCTCTCGTTCACCGCTCCTCCCTGGCCCTGATACCCGAAGATCACAGTTTCGGAAATTGCCTCGTTACATGTAGTGTGACCACCGGTTGTGCCGTCCCTTTCGAGACGGGCCGTCGTTCCGACGTGCTGTTGTCGAGACAGCCGCCAACAGTCACACAAGCTCTCTTCGCAACCATACCCACCAAACGCGTTTTTGCCCATCAAAGGCGTTCATGTTACCTATCCACCAAGGGGACTTGTTGCAGCTACATAGGTCAGTGGAGGTGCGTGCTAAGGGGAGAGGGGGCGGTTACTCTTCGACCGCTCCCCCCCGCGGGGTGTAGCCACCGCGCTATCTAGCCCCGTTGGCGCAAACGGACTTTCCCGCCCTTCTTGTTTCGACCTCAACCTTGCCGCACACTCATCCCTGCCCGTTGTTATCACCCCCCCTACTCCTCCCGTCAGGTTGCGGAAGGGGTGGACACGGCTCTGGCACTGGCGGACCTGATCCGAAAGACCGACAAGTCTTACCGCATCGACCTCAAATACGCCATCATATTCGGAGGTGATTTTTCCCAACAAGAAGGCGGCAATGTTGGCAGATTTCGACGGTGTGTGTGTGTGTGTGTGTGGACTGTGGACTCTTCAGAATCCTAGCCGGGGGGGCAAACCTTCGCGGCGTTACTCTAGTTGTTTTTCTGTTGTTTTTCATTCTCGCGCACAGCTCTCTGCGCAACCCCTGCCCCACCTTCCCAGTCGCGTCACCCCCTGTCTCCGTATTTGCTTGCTTTTTATGACAGCGCACCCTCCCGCGCTCACTCTGCCGCTTGCTGCTGCTGCTGTGTGTGTGTGTGTGTGTCTGTGTTTGTTTTTGTCGTTTAAAAGTGGCGGACATCTTGAAGGGGACGCGATCTCCTAAGGAGGGCCTAGAAGACCTCATGACCATGCCGCTTAAGGCCGAGATGTACGACCCGTGACGCTTCGCGACCGCCGCCGCGCCGCACCCCTCGCCGAGGAAGAGCCAGCCAGAGCCAATGGCCCGAGGGAGATGTGTTAACACCACTGTTGTGCGCGTGACGCTCTTCCGGCAATAGGACAGGTGTTGTAGGAGTGGATGTTTCCGACAGTAGGACACGGGGGTAAGGTGACAGGAGATGACACGATCCCACAAGAGTCGCGAGGCGAGGGGGGAGAGCTTTGGGCGAAACCGCCAGAATATGGGACGGTCGGTTGCTCAACACAAAATGTCTTTAGTTGGGGGGGGAGGGGGGGCGTACAGAGAGAGATAAAAAGAATCACATGCCTGTGGCAAGATGGCCAACCTCCGCTTTGCTCCCTCCACCAGAGCAAGTTCCCGGGGCGCACACATCCGCTGCCTCATAGATATGCAGTCGCTGATAGATACGTTCAAGTAGATCCGCGTTGTTGCTTTGCAGCATCGTATGCATAAGTACTCGTGCAACAGAACGAGCGGATGTTTTTTTTTGTTTGCTTGTGTATTGTTGATTCAAGCATGTCGAGCGGCTTGCTAAGGTCGTTGTTTGTGTCTCCCCGTCGTGGGAAATGTGTCCCGCTTACTGCAGCAGCTTGAGCTGAAACACACCTTAGCTTGAGTGTTTGGGTCTGTTGTTGTTGTTCTTGTTGTCAGAGCGTGTTCCCCACACTTGGGGATACGAGGGTACTTCGTGTCTGTTTCTTCCGATGTCTCTGTCTATGTGATAGGTACGCCCTTTGGCTGTTGGTGGAATGTACTGCTGTGCTTTGTGACACGCCGTTCCCGTCTCCTGCAGGGGCGGAAGTCAGGCGTTGTTTTAAGCACATTTCGGGCGGATATCTTGTGGTTTGGCTGCGTTTTGCAAAGCCCAGCCCCCGCTAAAGCGCGTCAGGATGGTTGATCCCAGTCACGGCTTAGGCCCCATTTACGCCACAGCACACACGCTAGTCTAGCGAAGTATTTGCATCTGAAGATGGACATTTTGGAGGGGGATGTTTGCGTTTGCACTCGAACTGTTTTGCTAGCTTGTTTGAAAAGGGGGGTTGGTGACAGTTTTCGTTATGCTACGATTGCCTGTCGTTTCTTTTACTTTATTTAGTTCCTGTTCGCAGATAATCTACGGTTTGGACCCGCCTTAAGTGACACGTATAGAACTACGAGCTTACGGGGGGAAAGAGGAGAAGGACAGTGATGCAAAGCCTCCGCCACCGGATGCGCCGGCACGTGGCAGCACGCGGGGTAGGCCGTGCACAGAGAATCAAAGGCCAAGATAATCAGTTCCCCCTCTGCTTCGTCATGCGGCGTGTTTGGGGTGATCAAGTTAGGTCAATCGCCCCGCACGTTTTCTCGAGCGAGAATCAGGTTTTTGGGGCCTCGCTTAGTTCGTCGGTACGGTTTTTGGGCCCCGGAGGATAGATGCCTGGTCCGACGCAATGCTTTGTTGTCTTGGCGCGCCCTGCTTCGTTGCCAGATGTGCGGTTGACCCCAAAGCATTGCAAGATGTATGTTCGGCTTAGAACAAGGCCGTTTTTTCACCTTGAGGTCGAGTTACAGTAGTTGATATATGTTGAGACATACCTCCAATATCATATTAATCGGAGACCTTCGTCCCAAGCTGGCTCCCTACCCCGGTTTGCACCGGCCGGTCAGGCGTTTTACTGGGGCGGAGAGGGGGAATGGAAGGGAGAGTAGGGGAAAGAGAGGGACCTCGAAGCAAGATCGGTGTATGGAGTAGATACAGAGGGTAGCGTTTATCTATGTGATGTATGTACCAGTTCTTTGTGTGTGGTGGGGGTCGTGTTTGGGCGGCACGGGGCGGAGATGGGGTGTGTGGGTTTCAAAGAAACAAGGCCCTTATCGGTTAGAAAAAGGGCAACTACATGTATCTGCCCTTTGCGATATATGTGACTGCGTTTCCACACCACCTATGGCTCTCTCTCTGGACAATGATTCCTCATGTGAAAAACGCAACTGCATGGAACTGCGCTTCCTTCCCACCTAGACTTTCTCTTTGGACAAAGCTTCATTGTATGGCGCGCTCTCTTGCACCTTGCTCCAAGGAACACGCAAAGCAAGCAGCACGCGTCGGTCGGTCATTCAAGATGCGCATGTACCTGTTGGGCCCCTAGGCACCGAGAGGGCAAATCGACACCGGCATCTCCGGAGTAGTCGCTCCCCTGCCCCTTTCCCCTCGCCCTCATGGGCATCGTGGCAGAACCAACCGTAGCCCCGGCCGCGGGGTAGTATTCCCGTTGGGCGGGGAAGATTTGGGTGTCCACCTCCATCCGGCCTGGTGTCGGACAAAAAGCGCTCCTAGCGCTCATCACAGGTGCCCTTCGAAGCGATGTGTACTGTTGTTTTTCGTCGGGAGAACTACTTGGGGGGACTTTTCTTTTTCCTCCCCATCGGCATGAAATGTAATCCACGGAAGACAAGAGCAGCGAGCCAGGTGGATTGTTCTTTGTTTCAAGCTAGTATACCGCCGCCTCGTATACAGTTAGCGCCCGCGTTCAAGAAACGCCAATTTCCGGTCCAGCCTAAAATGCTTGTTGTGGGCTGAAAACTCAGGGTACGCTGTCCAATTTCTGACGTCAAGGTTCTTATTTTTTCGTGCTGCAGAGTCCTGCTGAATCTCTTTTTCTCTTCTCGCTTACACAACGTGCTAAATATTAACAAATGGTTTGCGTTGCTTTCCTCGTCTCCCGTACTCAAAACCCCGATTCTCACAATCGATGGTTGTGCATTAGGCCTGTCCTCCATCGGCCGTTTTGCTTGTATGACGGAGAATAAGAATGTGTAATTACTTGAAATTAGTATAGAAATAAAGTTTGTGTATCTAAATCGAAAATAAAACGGCCGATGGAGGACAGGCCTATTGTGCATACGAAGGTCACACTTTATTTACGCGAAAAATGTAATCAGTGGAAACGTCCCTCCCCACCGCCGTCGCACGCGACTCATCCGACCAGCACGGTAACAAATTCTTGCCGCCGACAGTCATTAACACCGCCCCTACCTTAGAAATAAACGTTCTCTGTCAAAGAAAACGCTAATAACAAAGCTTGGTGAAACGGAAAAGCGCTCTTTTTGCCCTCAAAAATCTTCGTCCATGGTGAAGACGGAGGCTTTCGGTGCTTCTTCAACAACGGGTGCTGCTGGTGGTGCTCCCTCTGCCGCCTTTGGCGCAGCAGCACCGTTTTTGTTGGTGCCCGAAACCGTTTCAAGCTTGACCGCTTTCGGCCCTCCGATCTGTCGAGCACGACCGGTAAACAGAGGGGGGCGGGGGGACACGCGGTTGGCACGTTGGCACGGGATGGGACGGGGTCAGCTAATGACGATTTTGCCGCGTAACCCGTTAGAGACGGATCATCACAACATCTTATTCGTGAAGACAACAACAAAAACAACAACAACAACAACAACGACAACAAGAACAACGACAACAAGAACAACGACAACATCAACAACAACAACATTTTGTTGATGTACCACTTACATCTGTAGTCCAGGAGGACGACGCCAAAGGTCGAGTAAGGAATGATAATGACAGGAGACCAAACGAAAACCGATATGATTGACCCCTCCCTAGCTCCGCGCGAAGCTGAGCAAGACCACTGATACGATCCGCCGCTGTTGCTGCAGCTGTGGTGCGGAAACCTCTCCCTCCCCCCCCCCCCCCCCCCCCCCCCCCCCCCCCCCCCCCCCTCTCTCTCTCTCTCTCTTGTGTGCCTCTCTTTCTTGTATCTTCATTCTGAGCATCGACCGCGCCAACTGGCTGACCCATGAAAAGACGTCAGTCTCAGTGCGGCTGAGAACAACAAATGTTTCTTAAGGCGTGTGTGTGTTTTTTTGTTGTTAGCACCGACCGCGCTAACCGGCTGACCAATGAAAAGACGTCAGTGCCAGCGTTTAAAACCAAGGTCCTTGGAAGGGGGCCAAAATTCGAAAAAGGCGCAATGCGCTAAATGCGAATGCCAATACGACTCTCTCTACATATGCTTTCACAGAGATTCAAACCTCAGCTACACAAATGTCCTCGCTCGAACCTAGGAAGCCACTGATGTGTGTGTGTGTGTGTGTGTGTGTGTGTGTGTCTGGCTTTGTATTCGTGTGTCTGTCTGTCTTTGTATTCGTCTGCCTGTCTGTCAAGTGTGTCAGTCTGTCTCGCCTGTTCGATGCGACCGTCCCGTGCGAGCACGACGTAGAAGGGCACGCTCCTCAGGCCCGCTCTGGTCTTGAACCTCTCTAGCAGCGCCTCCGATTCCTCCTCGTCACCACCGGCGAAGACATGGGTCAAGGTAGGCCAACGCCTGTCCGCCAGTGAGTTTATGGATGGGGGGAGGGCGAGGGGGGGGGCGAAGAATTGAGAGGGAGGGGGCGCAGGGGTCGGCGTGCTTGTATGAACGCACGCCATAATCGATCGATAGACAGTTGACCTCAAATGAGAGAAGGAGGGGGGGGGGGGCATGAGCATCAGTAGAGGGTGATATCCAAGAAATCAGCAACGAAAAAATCCAGAATGGTTGTCTCAACAATGGAGGGCGAGAAGAGAAGAGAAGGTGTCGAAAATGGGTCGTCATGGGAATCTACAATTGGACTACAAATGTCCGTGTCGAGAAAAAAAACTCGAACAAACCACCGTGCACACACACACCCGTGACAAGGGAAAAAAAAAAAAAACACCGTCACGATCGATCGGTCCATACACCCACCCCTTGGACACCATCTCCCGTACCCCCTCTAAGCTGTCGAGGTTGACGGAGATGTACTTGACAGGGTCGTCGGTAGCAGCTGCCGCTGCCGCCGCCGCAGCCGCCGCCGCCAATCCCTCGAGAGCATCGAGAGCGGCGGGGCAACGCACGCAACGGGTCGTCCAGAAATCTGCACGTTCGTTTACAACGGAGCACGCGTGTATTCCACGTCATTCGACGGAAGGGGGGCGAGTGAGAATAGTCGGTGCCAGAAAGGGCATTTACTATTACTGCTGCGCTGAGAGGTCAAGGGCAGGAAAGATAGAAACGAACCAAATTACCGTTGTGACAGCAGTAGTAGGTCGTGAGCTAGCCGCAGCACGGAACAGAAGAAGACAGAAATAGTGGAACCGACAAACGGAGAACGACAGAAGTCGCGCACCGTTCAACTCCCTGCCGACTCTTTCCCCGAGGTGCCGTTTGTGTTTCTCGGGGTTCTACATAAAGGCCTACCGATACTAGTGTCACCCCCCCCATTACTTCTTTCGTACACCTTGCAAGTGCAAGACAGCGCACCCTATCATCACACTACATACAATCCTCCCGCCCGTCCGAGAGGGAGAGGTCCACACACACCTAAAACCGCGGGCCCCCCGGCCCTGACGTCGTCGAGCGTGGTCGCGGAGCCCCCATCGATCGGCACAACCTGCAGAGACCAACCGGAACACCAGACAGGATGTATGTATATGTCGCGACGGCAAGGTTAGCGACGGAGGTCGAGGGGGGGGGGGTCGTCCTTGTAGGGTAGGTTGTCTAGCCGATCGTGGAGGGAGGCTGCAGCAGCAACGACAACACCGGTGACGACTCGCACAATCGAGGCCTGGCTTTGCGGGGATGAGACGGCAGTGGGAGCAGGGCGGTTGGGGTGTACTCATAGTCGTGCATGCGGTAGTCGTTAGACCATTGACCTCGCATCCCTACAAAGCCGGGACGGAGCACGCCGGGTTCTCACCGGACCAGTCTCTCACATCACCAAGTGGGTGCAGGGGGGGGCGGACGATGTTTCAACGCGTAGAGAGCAAGAATTATCCTTAACCAAGCCCTACTGCCCACCTGAAGGGAAGGCATGGCGTCGCCGACGACGAGCGGCGACTCGCTTGCCTCCTCTTTCCTGTCCGACACCACCGGTTGTTCTTCGGCAGCCTTCTTCGGCTTGCGCACCAGCTTGCACACTCCTCCCGCGCATTCCATGGTGCGCGCAGCGGGCACCGCGGCGGCGGCGGCGGAGGCTTCAGCAACATCAGCTACCGAATCGTCCTTCGACTCCTGCTCGGCGGTCCTCGTCGGCTTGCGCACCAGCTTGCACACACCGCCGTCGCACTCCACACCGGCCGGGGAGGGAGCAGGAGCGGCAGGAGGGGCGGCCGTTTCTCCCGTCGCTTGTCCATGCGGTGCTGCCGCTGCTGCTGCTGCCGCTGCTGCCTTCGGGTTGCGGACCAGCTTGCACACGTCCCCGACGCACTCCATCCGGGGGGAAGGTGTCGCTTTACCTCGCGGGGCCCCTTTGGCGGTGGGGCTACCAGCGGCTGCTGTCTCCTCCCCCGGTGGCGTGGCGGCGTTGGCGGCCGCGGCGTCGTTCTCATCTTGCTGACTCTCCCCGTAGCGGCCCTCTCGAGCGGTAGCAGAACCAGCACCGGCAGGAGGCGGGAGCAGGGCGGAGTCGAGGGATTCGACCGTCTTGAGGGGAAGGGTCTTGGCGCTGCCGTGCCGGAGCACCTCCCCGTCCTGTGTGCAGAGACAGGAGAGGGGGGAGGGGGAGGTAAAGTGGCACCGGGGTTCACTCCAGAGAAGTTGTTCCTGCCATGGCCGTGCCGTCAAGACTTAGTGCGTAGTAGCACGTCTACGTTGTTGAGGTGTGCCGGGATTTTTGCCGGCAAAACCTTGGACGCGAGCGTGTGAACAGGAGCTGAATGCAGCAGTCTTGAGAGCTCCTCGTGAAAATTGTTGTCCGTGTTGTGATGTACGTGGCGAATGGGGGACGGACTCCGGACCTTTATGTGTTGGAGTGTGCGCACAGGGTGGAAGTCTAGCCGGTGGAAAGGAAGAGTGTGCTACCGTGGGTTTCTGTGGCCCCAGTGCAGCAGCAAGAGCACGCGCTTGGCGCAACAGCGACAACTTTACGAATAAATCTCAACACTCCTACTGAAGCTAGCCGTGTTTGCCCGTGACATAGGTTCATGAATACATCACCATCTTAAAAAATACTTGTCCTTAGCAGCGCGCGGAAGCATCCACCTGCTGAGCGCATCACCCCTCCCCCACCAACAGGGTTTCATCACTGCCAGTACAAATGGCCAAATGCTGTACAGATCTCTAGCGCCGTGGATACGGCAACATGGGCTGTATGCAGTGCCCCCAAATGCCCGTACCTCGCCGACGACGACGTAAAAGGGCACAGTCCTCATGCCCAGGATGTCCTTAGCCCTCTCCTTCTCGTCCTCCGCCAGGTGTACGTGGGCCAGGCTGTTCATCGTGTAAAAGTGCCAAGACGGCGGCGGCGGCAGACAACAACGAGACGCGGGGCAGGAACCATGTTGGTACTTGAGGTTTGTGACCACGGAACATTCTCACCCGTGTTTCTCTCCTCTCAAGTGCGCTAGACCAGGAATCACGGTGGTGATAGTAGTGGAGGGCAACAACGAAAAAACAAAAACAAGGTACGTGCAACCATCTCAGCGTCGTTCCAAAGCGAAGGATCGCAGAATCAAGGCAGCAGCATTCGGGGAAAGCCTCGCAGAGAGGAGAAGCCCACCTTCCGACCAACAACAGAAACAGATGGACAAAATTAGATTCCTCTCGTAGCATCTTGAATCGCGTTCCAATGTATCGCACACAGAGACCCGTTTTTTATAACCTCCGTCCCTCCGTATACACGCCACGGCAACTGCATTTATTCATTGTAGCAGTCCAGTTAACGGGTCGCGCATCCCAGCAAAAAAGCGCGATTGTCCTTGCCTGGTCCACCTGCCCTCGGAAGCGGCCTGCGAGACGAGCTCGCGCGCCGCGCCTGAGTCGTCGATGTTCACCGCCACGCAGGCCACGGAGGGTCGCCCGAGGGCGATCGAGTCCAGGGCGTCCAGCGCCGCGGGGCAGTTGGTGCACCGGGTTGTCCAGAAGTCTGCCACGTCGTTGTTTGGGATAGCAGAGACGAAGAGAGAGGGAGAGGGAGAGGGAGAGAGAGAGAGAGGGAGAGAGAGGGAGAGGGAGAGGGAGATAGAGATAGAGATAGAGAGAGAAAGAGAGAGACAAAGCGACAGAGAGAATGGGGTGTGTGCTCATGATTGGTATGCCGTTATCCATACATCATATAAATCGCTCACATCGCCATAGAGCCGGATCGGAGCACACGGGGCTTCCGCTGGCCAGGCTCGGGAATCGCTATGAGCGGCGGGATGAACAGGCTTGGCCGAAAAAGCATAAGCATAAAAGTTCTGTGCGTTGTGGTGCGGAACATCAGTCATGAGTACTGCCGTGCGCCTGTATGCAGAGCGGTGTCGATGCCGTTGGTCATTGCCCGCAGAGATTTAGATGAAGCTCTGCAACTTTTCCGGAGCTGTGGTGTCTTTCCGTGTTGCTGGTTGCAACTCTAATGGAGGGCCACGGAGGTGAAGACTACTGCAGCCCATCCCGTCCGTGCAGAAGCGGCGAACGTTTCTTGGGGCAAACCGATTTATTGGGGTACTGCTGTGCCAAGGGGTTAGGGATAGGGTTAGGGTTGAAACAGCTTCGCAGATACACAAACTCGAGGGAAATAGATGACCAAGCGTTCAGGGTTGGAGGGAGGGCTGGAATCCACCCAGAGGCGGGAGCAGGGTTCCATACCGTATTGAGAGAGACAAGTGTATCCGTGTGAGTTTGTCTTGCTTGTTTCCGTTTGTGTGAGAGAACAAGCACAGAGTTCATCAGTCGAGAGTTTTCGTGATTGTTGTTTCCGATGCTGTACGCGTAAGGGCGTGATTGCAATATGGCTGCATTGGGGGGTCAAAAAAATAAAATGTTACTCCTAAATTTGGAGAAGACATCGTTCTTGTGTCTCCACCACCAACGCACCCGAGAGGATGTATGCGCCCCCCCTGAGCGCATTGATTAATACTTCCGCCATTGTTGGGCACGTGAGTTTGGACATCGCAAAAAGTAGGCAGGAGTTCCGGAAGGCGGTGTGTACGCGAGAACGGGTCGGCCAAACCCGAAATCCAAAGTCCAATCCGTGGCAAGGATGTGCTATATATATACCATATATATACATTTTTTTTTCTCCCATCATTGGACTCTGTCGTCTGCCCCTCTCGCCCCTTTCCTCTACTTCTACCAGCTAGACGACCCTACTGGGGTCACATAGGAGGGGGGGGGTTGGACCCCCCCCTGCGGTTCCTGCCCGAGATATTTTTATCGCGAGAAGGGTACAGCAATCCCTGCCCTCGCGACTTATGAAGTCGATCAAGCTTACTAACAACGAGCTTTGCAGCGCGTCGCTTCCAAAGGAGACCAGGATTTCATTAGCGAGAAAAAAATCACTGTGTCGGGACTCGAACCCATGACCTGGCCCTAAGTAGGCTGCGAGGCTACCCACGAGAGACCTATATCCTGTATGTATGTACGCGTACACCGAGGCGGGGGGGGGGGGATATCTAAACGCATTTTGCGAAACGAGTTTACTGATGATTTTTTGGAGTACAGATGCTCTGTAGTAGCTCTCACAGCCGGAGAACGCATGTTTCCTGCCGAATGTTCCTGTTGCACGCTCGCTCGGCACAAGCAACCACCTGCAGTCGTCGGTCTACTGCTGTCGTTATCCCTGCGGCACCCCGCCGTGCGGTGTTGGTCGCGGGCCGTTGGCCATTACGAATTTGTTGCTCCCTTTCGTTCGAGACCTGCTCAACACAAACACCCCGCTGTATAGGAGCCCTCACCGTAGACCGTAGCCTTAGCGTCTCGAAGATCGCCAAGCGTAGCGGTAGACCTCGCGTCGACTGCTCCACTCTTGCCATCACGGGGCAGTAGAGATGCGCTGGGGAGTGCCAGCAAAGCATCGAGTCCCTTCGACGACATTTGTGTCCGGTAGCGAGACGGCCTCAACCTTTCAATTCTACGCGGTGCAGAGGAAGAAGGTGCTGCTAACCTCCGGGAATGCTCAATCCTCGCGTGGACCGCGTCCTTCTTTTCCGTAGACTTGGTCTCGTTGATGGCTTCGGGCACAGAGGGTGCCGGAGAGAGAGAAAGAGAGAGATGCGGGCGAGAGAAGGAAGAAGGAAGGTCTCAAACAGGCAACCGCCCCCGTGTGTGGAAGCAAATTCAAATTCAAAAATTCAACGAGGGTCCCGTGGCATAGTACCACATATCCGCCCCGTTTTTCACCATCTCTTGTATGCGCACCCCCTCCGCAGCACTCAAACAGCAGATTGCGCCCTCTTGCGAACAGGGAGCAGTACGGAGGGGGGAGACCTAGCCCGAGAGAAACAGTGTGAGAAATTGTGTGGGTCCCTTGTCGAGGCCGCCGTTGCCAAGCCTTCTCGCAACTACGGCGTCAAGGGGTACCAATATCTCGACGACCTTTGCGGCACATCTTGGCTGTTGGACTGCGAATTAGCGACAGAGGGGACGTCTCTTACTCGCCAAGCAAGACGATCAGCCAAAGGTCACTGCTGCTACTGCTGTGGTATCCTGTATTGCCGCTGCTCTTGTGAGGCCACATGTCACAGCAGTGAGCTACTGGAGAGGGAGAGAGAGGATCAAATACGTTCGTCCTCACCGCGGGACCGTCGTTACCTGGTGAGTGATGAGTGACCCTACAGCCATGGTGTCCGGGTTGGCGGGTCTGTCGACAGCGTCTTCGAGGTGCATTTTTCGATTTTTCTACTGCTGTATTCATCCATGCAAGTACCACCACCGTACAGCATTACTATGAGTGAAGCATACTCCGTAAACGTTGCCACAAAGGCTTGTAACAGAACGTCTTGTGCGTGGCATGCGTATGCAGAGGGAGGTTTGCCGCGAGCCGGCCAAGGGTTGTGCTTGTTACATAACGTCCGTCGTACAAGGTCACGTTGTCTATGTGGCTGCCTGCGAAGCAAAGTTCCTCTTCGCTTGGTGTCAACTTGCACCAACACTTGCAAGCTGCTGCTGTCCCATGAAAGGTTGGAGACGAAACTTGGCTCGTTCACCAGACGACCAAAGTGTCTAAAACAACTTACGTAACAAGAGTAGGCGCCTTGAGTGAAGATAAGGCACAGGTTGTGATGTTTCGAGGAACAATTGTATTCTTGGACTGTTTGCCAACGCCTCGGCTATAACGAGCGTGCGGAGGATTGGCCCACAGTACGTCCTCCGAGTGGTGTTGCGGGACAACGTTGACGATTGGATGTGTATGTTGTCTCGAACACATAGCTCCAGATGTGGCGATATATAGAAGTATCGCAGGAGAGTAGTTCATTACCACCTACCTTGTCATAAAGTACGCTTGTCGGTGTGCACAATCAATCAATCACGTTGCTCCCGAAGAAAGTACCACTGCAATAATTCAGCCAACTCACGGCTGAGGGCCCATAGGTAGGGCTAGGCGGGGACGTATTATATGAATTTTCGCGCGAAGCGCCAAAAAAACTGAAGAGGCGTTTTCCCGGTCGGGCTGGTTTTTGGCTGTTTATTTCCACTCCCCCCGATCCACCTTTTTGGGCATATGTCCTTGAAATATGAGCCGATTTCGAAACGGTTTCTTGCACTGCATTCCCAGGCACGTCTAGCATACCGTCCAACTTAAGGTTATTGTTGAAAGACGGCAGATGGTGCCGGAAAACACACACACACACACACACACACCACACACACACACACACACACACACAGTTGATCCGCTTGGAGGAAGCGAAAGGCAAGGGAGTTTTGTCGTGCTTGACAACGCAAGGGTTGTCAGCAGATGAAAGAATGCTGCCTGATCTATATCGAGGGTCACTCGGTCGTGTACTGGGGAGTCACGATCGAGCAGACTGCAACACAGGCAAACTTTGTGGTGCAGGTGCATTGTTACCATGCAAGGACCGCTTGAGCCGAGCCCACTCCCTCGTCTGCACCAAGACCGGCGCCTCAACCTTCCTTCATAACAGGATGGTTCGAGTAGTCCTCAAGTCACTGCGCGAGTGCCATATGCCCATCGCCGTTGAGGATTCTCCCCCTTTAACCACAGGCACTGGTAGGGGAAAGGGGCTATAGAAGATGGATTTGGTAATCCCCCCAGGATTACACGCAGGAGAGAAGGAAGAGGACCTCTGCACCAAGTCCATTCT